ATTCATTATATCTAAATTTATTAAATGAAAATGAGAATGCATTAAGATTGGGTCAAATTACATTAAATTTTATTTTATAGTTTGAATATAAATTTAATTTTTATAAGTAACTTAATAATAATTTATTTAATTAAGATTATAGTATTATATTTATTGAAAATAGTAAAATATATTAAAAAAATACGTTAAGAGTATTTTAGTACAGGATTCATATTTTAACTTTTTTTTTTCATGCTAGAATATAAAATTTATCAAAAACTAATTGAATTTTATTCTAATGGTTAATCTAACTTTGATATCTTAAATATATTTTTAAGTCCTACCTTTATAATTTTTCACTTCTCAGATTTTCAAGTGAATAACTCATTTTCATAAAAAAATATATTTTTTAGATTAGTGTAGGATCTTATAAAAACAATGGTCTGTTTGGTAATAGAGAAAGAAAGTAGAGAAAAAAATATGAAAAAGTTGAAAGAAAAATAAATGACAGAGAGATGACATAGAGTAGAATTCGTTTAATAAAAAAAGAAAATTTGAGGAAAGAAAAATAAAGAAATGGAAAGAAAATGAAGAAAATAGATATGAAGCAGAGTATAATTTATTTAATAGAAAAGTGACATGAAAAAGGAAGAAACGTGTTTATTTAAAAATAATAAATAATTAAAATTGAATACTTATTTGATTACAAAATTATATATATATATATATATATATATATAATTATTAAATACTTTTTATTAATAAAATTATTTTTAAAAAAATAATATCTTTATATTATATATTTATTTTTTTGATAATATATTCTTTGATATATAATTATAAAATATTTTTATTATAATACATTTTTTAATTTATTTAAAATTAAATTAATAAATAATATCATATTATAAACAAATATAAATATATATTAAATTATGCATTTAAATTTCATAATCACTTTCATATTTATTATATTTTATTAAAATAATAATTATATATACAAACTATAAATATAAAAATAAATAATCATTTATTTAAATAATAATTAAAAGTATATATATATATATATATTAAAATTATAAACATTAAAAAAAATAATCATTTATTTAATAAGGATAGTTTTATAAAATATCATCCCTGCATTATTCACTCTTTTCTGTTATCGTTTTAAAAGTAATAAAATTATATTATTAGAAAACTAATTAATTAGCTATTGAGAATTTAATTTTATAAATAAGAAAACGATAACGTATTGTTTATTTAATTAATTGGCTATAACAAAAATTTAACTTTAAAAATAATAAAATTTTGTGAATATTATTTGTTGAGTAGAAATATTAGGTGTAAATAGATTAACATTTTGGAAATGTTTAAATTTTTTAATTTCTTTAAATATATTAATTTTTTTATTCCAAATTACACTTATTAAAATTAATATAATATTAGGTTTCGCTATATGAAAATTATTTATATTTTAACTCAGATTAAGTCATTTTCAAAATTTAAGGCATATTATATTTATTACATTTAGAAATTTGAGTTTAAAATAGTCAATTTAATAATTTGGAGAGAGAAACTACCAATTATAATATATACATATAGATAGATAAATATATGAAAACTATTTATACTCCAAGTATTTTTAAAATGTAAACATCTTATTTTTCAATTTATATTTATTACTTTAAAATTTCGATAGATATAATGAACAATGTTTTTATTAATTATGTTAAATAATAATAATAATAACTTTGTTAAATATTTATTAATTTTTAAAAATATTTAAAAAAATTAATTACATAATTTTTATTGTATATTGCATGATAAATTATACGTATTTATCATTTTATATATAAAGAGTTCAGTAATAAATTATTATAAATTAATTATTTTTATTATTTTTTTTGAATTGTGTAAGTATATAAAACTAAATAAGATTATATTTGTATGAATTTAAAACATATTCAAAAGATTTAATGAATTAAAATATATTGAGTAAAAAAAATTTTCATTTACTTAATGATAAAAATATTTGAAAATTGAAACCAGACAGCTATTTTAAATTATCATTAAAATAAATGGTATTTTTAAAATTACAATTTAATTACCTAACCAAATTTAATAAAATAATATTTTTATAATATATCAAAGATAAATTTATTTAATAATAATATTATTTTAGAAAAATTAATAAAAATTATTATTATGATCACCTTAAATTATAATAAATATTATTAATATAAAAATTATTAGAGAATATAAGATATATAATTATTAAAATAAGATAAAAATATAATAAAATAATTACTATTTAAAATTGATATAATTAATATGAGATTAAAAAAATAAAATATATTATATCTTTTATAAAAAATTATATAAAATATTTTGTTCTTAAATTTTATTTTTTTAATTAAAATTAATTAAGAAAATTAATAATTTTTTCTATTTTACTAATTTTTTTAATTTAGTCTTGATTTATTTAAAATTTAATTATTTAAAATAAACCGATCAATTTTATTTCAATTTTCTATTAAACCGGTTAAATTGACTTATATAATTTTTAAAATAATAATTACAGGACATACACAATAAAAAAAAATACACATAAACAATAATAATTTAATAATCGTGGTTATGTATGACTATGATTATCAATTCAAAACCTCATTTTATTTTATTTTAATCTCTCCAAATTGAATTGATTATTCCAAATTGATTTCTTCTCATTTGAAACTTCTGCTTCCAAACATTCATAATTGTTTGTTTTTTTTTTGCTTGAAAACAAAAAGGAAAGCATTAAAGTGATAGAATATTTGTTTTCTTTTTGGGATGATTTTCATCAAATCTCAAATAAATGATTTTAAGCAAATAGTTATTGACATTTAAGGAAAAAAAGAAAAAAGAGATATAAAGTAAATCATGAAAAATGAAATAATAACGCATATCACAAATGCACAATTTTTTGCTCCATAACAAACAGTTTGGTTATCATTACTGTAATTTCTTGTTTTTCTTAAAAATAATTTATGATAAAGTATTTATTTAACTTAATTAAATTATTTAATTGAATTTAAAGAAATGAAATAAACGTATTTTATAAAACTAAAATAAAGTGGTATCGTTAAGAAAAAGTTAACAGAAGTTGTATTTTATTTTTAGTAGGTTGTATTTGATATTTATAAATTTAATTTATGTCACTCATAAATAAATAAATTGTTAATTTTTTTAATTAGAGTGTTACAAATTAAGAGAAGTATTTCTTAAGAGGAATGCTTATAAAAATTTTATTTAGACAACTTTTAAACCTAATTATGTATTTGTGTTTATAAATTAAGAGTCAATATGAAGTAATTAGTTTTTAATTATTTTTTTACTCCATAATAATTCACTTATTGTAATTTTTTAGGATTTTGCGATTTTTCTATATAAATTATACTTATAAGATTTAAATTGATATGATTTGTACTTATTGTTTCCATAAATGAATTTATATTTTATCAACCTAAAATAGTTTGTGTTTTTGGTATTAAATTTTATTATTGTACCATGATTAAGATAGAAATAGTTTGTAAAAAATAATTATTCTTTTAGTGTTATGCTTCTATTGCTCATGGTTCTTCCTTCAATTCTTCTTTTTTTTTTTCAATTTTCAGAACCCTTTTAGTGTTCTTATTTATAAACCAAAGAAAGTGTTTTTATATATAAAAAAAATATATTGGTTTTTTGACTGAGGAAGTTAGATGAATTACTGAGGTTCACGTGAGATGGAAAAATAGAAAAAAAAACTATATTTATATGCAAATAAATAAAAAATTAAAATTGAGTGTTCACGTAATTTTTAATATATATTATGAACTATATTTGTTTATCGAGTATATTAAATAAATTAAATAAACTAAATAATTTTGTTAAATAATTGTTACATTTAATAAAAAAATTATTTAAATAAATTAATCACATATAAATTTTTTTACATAATAAATTATATGTATTTTAGATATATATTTAGGTTGTCAATGTTGTATAACTTATATTTTTTTCAATTATTTTATCAGTGTTAGTGCTGATATCATAGGTAGGATTATGTTGTTTTTCTTAAATTAATGTGCATCATATATTGACTAAAAACATGATGAATTCACTTTCTAAAAAAGATAATGCTTTTTTTCTGTTTATTAATACTTATAAATTATTAAATGAATGATTATAAAATATTGAATTAATTTTTATTATGTTATATAATTAAAAAATTCTAAATATTAAAAAAAAAATTATTATTAAAGTCAATAATTTTCCATAAATGATATGATTTTAGTTAGATGATAACTTCCAAATATATATAGAGAGAGTACTTAAAAATAATTTAGGTGTTAGAGTAAATTATGGTAATATTTATTATTGGTGTAATATTTTTCTTAGACAACAAGATAATGCCATTATAATGATAAATGAGGGAAAGTTGTTAGCAGGTAATAAAAGGACATATCTATCATGGGAAATTTGGAAAAAACATACGTTTAATTTGTTTTAAATTGTAGAAGGAAAGTATCAAATGTTTCTGTTTTGTGCTGAACTTGTGAATTTTCTCTGTAAATTTTGAATAAGTGAGTCTTGTTCTTTCTGGTAATCTAACTAGAAAGGAAGGTCCATCATCATCTTCTATAAGTCGATCAATATTTCACGTTGTTAAATCAACTTTGACTGTCAACACATCGCACGTTTACTTCAAGATTCTGTATCTTTCTCATTCAACAACTGTTACACACACTCTCACATAGCACAACACATAACCTCAGAAACAAGCACACCCATTTTTAGTTGTTATCTCTTTCTTATCCTTCTTCACTCCCACTTTTTCTCTACGATATTCTTCCATAAAATCTTTTTTTCTTTCTTTTAGATTTCTATGTTTCATAGATTCTGTTCTGGCTTCTGGTTTCAGACGCATGATATAAAAGAGAGAAATTTTCTTATAGTTTCAAGTTAATTATTAAGAGTGTAAGACCCTTTTGCAGAAAATGACTGTGGTGAAGGATCATAGAAGGGATGATCTCAGAGACGAGTTTCCCGTAGGAATGCATGTTCTTGCTGTTGATGATGACTCAACATGTCTCATGATTTTGGAGACTATGCTACGTAGGTGCCAATACAATGGTCAGTATCGTGTACTCTTTCCGTTGATTTTATTTGTATTTTTTTTATTGCATTATGTGTGTGTGTATGAATCAATCAATTAAACTAATAATTTTCCCCATTTTTATTTGATACTGTTTCTGAAAGGTTCAGATCAATTAGTTTCTCTTGGTTAACAAAATGTTCTTTTAGTGATTTGATAATTTGCATCTTCAAGTTCCCCATTGTCTGATCTTCTGTTGTTTCTTTGGTTTCAAAGATTTGACCGCATGTGAAGTATTGGTTTCAGTGCATGCAACACTTTCCCTCTGATTGTGTTCTAGTTGTATATTCAGTGTGCAATTTTTCCTTTTCATAATAATATTTATTTTAGTTACGGTTTTGCAGTAACTTCCACCAATAATGCAAAAACAGCGTTGAATCTGTTGAGAGGAAACAAAAACAAGTTTGACCTGGTAATCAGTGATGTCCAAATGCCAGACATGGATGGATTTCAACTGCTAGAGCTTGTGGGGCTTGAGATGGACCTACCCGTCATAAGTAAGAGGCGATGATCCTACTTTCAATCTTCATCAGTTCATTGTTATTAGTTTTGTCCACATTATTCGTTAGTATATAATTATTACTGAAGTTAGATTGTTAATATGTATAGGTATTTTTGTATTCAGGTTTTTGTTTCGGGATGCTCTTAGTATATGTTTTGTTCACTTCACCACTACAAAAGATCGATCTTTAGGATATTGGGTCTTGTTTTGTAGAGCATTAAAGGAATTTTGTTCGCATTATATTTGATTTAGAATCGTACCTAAATGTTGATTTATCACACGATTTAAAGATGAAAATTTGGTGTACAAATGTAAAGTAAAATTGGGAAGATTTTCTTGCGATACTAATTTGTTGCAGCTTCATTTGGTTGTTTTGATGAACCTTTGACATTGTTGAATATTTTATTTTAGTGTTGTCTGTAAATGATGACCCTAAGATGGTGATGAAGGGAATTACACATGGAGCTTGTGATTATCTTCTAAAACCTGTTAGAATTAAGGAGATACAGAACATTTGGCAGCATGTTGTCAGAAGGAAGACAGTTGATTCGAAGGAGCGGAACAAAACCAGCAACCAAGACAAAGCTAAAGTTGATAGCAACGAAAGTGGGTCTGTAGCAACAGGAAATTCAGATCAAATTGGAAAGTCTTCAAGAAAGAGGAAGGATGAGGATGATGATGAGGAGAATGACAATGAACACTCATCAAGTCAGAAGAAACCTCGAGTTGTTTGGACTGTGGAACTTCACCACAAGTTTATTTCTGCTGTTAATCAATTAGGCTATGAGAGTATGTTCTTTAATCTATCTATACTCTATCACATTTCTCATAGCAAATTACCCTGACACCACTTGTTTCGAAATTCACATGATACCATGCCTTCTGGTTTCCCCTCTTAATCGTTTGAAATATATTATAGTGACATGTCTTGTTTTTCAAGAAACACAGTGCACAAGGTACCCATGCAAGAGTGGTTATTGTAAGGATTAAAAAGGAAGAATAGTGTGTGAATTTTGAACAACCACAATAAGTGTTTTCACAGTTTTCTCTATTTGTTATAAATTTGTACAAGAGCTAAATCCATTGGTCTTTCCTTTAATTTGTACAAAATTCTATTAAGCATTAACTTGAACACTTCCTATTATAAGCTCCATAAGGGTAAATGTAATTCCTTTTGATCATTATGAATGTTTTACATCGTGCCATGTAGTATTGTGCTACTGAATTGTGTGACTAATGACAATGTTAACTATTTTTGTTGCAGAAGCTGTGCCTAAAAAGATTCTTGACATGATGAATGTTGAAAAGCTTACAAGGGAGAATGTGGCTAGTCATCTGCAGGCGTTTTTCCTAACCTTACTTCTCTAGTTTAAAGTAACATTAGCCCTTTAATATAGGGGATCTGACTTTGTTTTTCTACGGCTGCAGAAATATAGGCTTTATTTGAAGAGAATTAACTGTGCAGCGAAGGCTAATATGGTGGCAGCCTTAGGCACTGCAGATTCATCCTATTTGAGAATGGGTTCGCTGAGTGGGGTGGGACATTTGCAGTCATTGACTGGTGCTCAACATTTTCATAACAACACTTTCAGACCCTTTGGACCTGGTGGGATGACTGGTAGATTGAACACTTCTGTTGGTGTGAATGTACATGGGTTGCTTTCTTCAGAAAATCTTCAGTTGGGTCATGCACAAAATTTACACAACTCTATACATGATACACTTAAGTTCCAACCAACCATAACTCGTGGCAATCAGAATGGTATTCAGGGTATAATGTCTACAGGTCTTGATCAATTCCAACATGATCAGGGTGTTAGTCCCATTCAAAACGTTTCACCTCTTATTGATGTTCAACCAAGTTTTTCCATGCCAAATAAATTCCCAGATCTGATACCAAAATCAAGAATGGATTGTTCACCCTCTCCAGTTTTGGACATCTCAAATAATGCTTTGGTGTTGAAAGCTGATAAGGAAAACACACAAGGGAGTGGAATAATATTTGGTCAAACTTCATTACCCTCTCAGCATTCACAATTCTCATTCCCTTTGCTGGATCAGGGTAGGTGTAGCGATATTTGGTCCAATTTTGTTCAGTCATCTGGGACAAATTCTTACCCTCCAAGTGAAACTTTTCAAGGGAGGAATCTGAGTGGTGCTTCATCCATTATTTCACTGTCTAACCAAGCCCATGATTCACTAAAAGATATGCACTCTGAAGGAGTATTTTTTCCAAATAATTCTGGACAAATTACTAATAACGTGGTGTCATTACAAGCATTACAAGGGTGGGATGACAATAACGATGATATTACTTTCCATTCAAATATTTTTGGTAACTCAATAGACCCTCTGATTGATACAGATGTTCATACTTCTATTAACTCAACCTACAATAGAAACACAGATTTCAGTTTCTTTGATCCCTCACTGATGAAACCTGACGGATTTACGGGATTGAGTGAAGAAAACACATTGACACAACAACAGGGTGGCATAATGAACCAGGACAAGCCTCAAACCAATCGTGCCACTAATAATCTTGGTTCACTGGAAGAATTTGTCACTTCAATGAAGAAACAGGTAATTTGAAGAGGTTTCACTGAATATTTTACCTATCTATGCAAAAATGTTCTGTGGCTTTTATTTCTATGCTATTATAGAATTTTTTTCCATCTTGTTTGCCTATTGAGTAAAACATGCATAGATCTTTTGATTAGGTTGATACCAACATAGAGAAGATGATTGAATTCTTGAAAATTTTATACATGCTTTTTTATCAATGTATACATTACTTGATATAAATAGTTAACATACTCTGGATTAAGGTCCTGCTAAATTTTGTTATTTGCTGATTGAATGTTAATTAATCAGTGAAAATAAAGAAGAGGGCAATTTCCACATGATTGTTTGCTCCAAAATTTGGGTTTTTACACTGCAGAAATTGATGGGATATACTTGTTTTTGATTCATTTCTTCATGTACTATATTTATGTGAATATTTTATGATCTGTCTACGTATCAATCGTAGAACATGAAATCATATTCCATCTCTATTAATAAATTACTTAATTTTTCTATTTTTTTTATAGAAATTTCAACTCATACTTGGATCTCACTAATATCCCTTTCAATTGTGATTCTTTTTTACACTGGTTCACCTCTTCCTTGAACGAAAATCAATTATCATCTTATTTATACCATTGAACTCGTTTACCTATAACCCTTATTAAAAAGACTTATGAGGCACATGTATTGTTGACATTTATATCGTGTACCTGATATTTTCCTTCAATCACACATGTCTGACAATAACTTTGTTATGTAATGCAGAAACAAGAGAATGCAATAGTATTGGAAGGATACTTCTGTGACAACAATTACTCTGATGGGACATCTATGTGAGACCAAGTTTGGCAGCATATCTAAGCACCATGTCATGCTTGTTGATGAGTTTTGTGGTGTGACAAGTCTTCTTACTTTACCTTGTTTCACAGTTTTGTCTTTTTGGCAATTTCCTCTAGCTACATAGTATTATACTCTGAGCAAGGTTTTTCTCAAATTGTGAAAATGAAATGCTTATGGATGAACCCTGTAGTGCATTATGCAGTTTACCCTGTTTAATTTTGATGATAAATGCTTTTCTAGCAATTTGTTAGTGGTCCATTTATAAAAATATAACATTTTTAATTATTTTTTTCTTTTTTTTTATCTCATATGATATTAATTTCAAATGATAATTATTTTATTATATTTTTATTTTAATTGTTATCCATTTTTATTATCTATCTTTATATTGTTATTGTAATTTAAGATCATCATAATAATAATAATTATTATTATTATTTTTCTATTATTAATAATATATAATTGCAAGACATTGACGGCATAAGTTTGGATTTTTCGCTTCACAATTATTATTTTTATCTTATATATTTTTACAATTTTATATACTTATTCTTTTTTAAGTATATTACATTTATACATATATTTAAATATGATATTATATATTCGTACAACTTTATGTAAGTATATTTTCTAAAATTAACTATTATTAATATGACATTTTAACTTTTTGTTAAAATTTCACACTAATTTAAATATTATATATATATATATATATATATATATATACTTATATAATTATATTTTTTTAAATTAATTAAGATTTGACATTTTAAAATTTGTTTTCATTCTTGATTTTTTTTATTCTTATATTATCTTTTATTCATTTTTTTTCATATTCTATTCGTTTAATCTAATTTTATTTAATTTATTACCATGTTATTTGTTAATTTTTTCGCTTAAATACCTTCTGTTTAGATTTTTTTTTCTTACATTATTTTTATTTATTCTTATTTGAGTGACTTTTATTTAAAATTTTAACATAAATAACAATTTTTTCTAATTTCAACTCAAAATTTTAGTAAACCCTTTTTAAAAATATTCATTTCTTGTCTATTCATGAAATGATGTTAGTCTGTTAGACTAAAGAATAAAAGAAAGTGCAATGGGTCTTGTAATTTTTATGAAAAAAACTTTTATGAATATTTTACACTAAATATGAAATTTTGGTGTGGACTCGAATATTAGATGAATATTTTATTAAATTGAAATTAGTTGTTGAATTAGTGGAAAAAAAATTGAAATCTAAACATGTTTCATCCATTAAGGGGAGATAAACATGATAATACTTCATTAAAAAGAGAAAGTATTTTTTTTAATTAGACATTTAACTTCAAAATAGAAAAAATTCAAAACATTCATAATTACAATGTTTTATTCTTTTAAGTTATGTTTTAATATTGAAAGAACCGCTTGATAAGTAAACTAATATTTGTTTGCTAAAAATCGTAATTTAATAGTTTTCTTCCTCTTGAATATTACGAGTAATACTTTATAATAAGATAAAACATATACCTAGAGGATATTTAATATAATTAAATCAGCATGAATTTTATTTATAGGATACCTTTTGTTTTATACACATTGAATTTTATATTGGGGAACATATATACAGAAAAAATACTGATGTTATTTATGGTGAATATAGTTGAATTATTAAAATATTATAATAATGAGATAAATCATTTTTAATCATTTCTCATATTTAAAATTTTCTGTTATCATAAATACACATTTTTCATCTCTTACCGTGATGATTTGTGAAATATTCAAGTTGTAAAAAAAATGTTTTAAATGATGTATCTTGGAATAAAATAACAATATTTTAGTTTTCAGTGAACATATCTATACAGCGTAATTAGAATTTGTGATAACCTCACACTTTATCTGATCTATGATGTGAGATACAATTATAAAAAGGGTAAAGATAATAATAATGGGAAATCACGTGATCTATATCATAAGATGTGAATCGCGTGATCATTATTAGCACAAAGATGTCCTTAATAAACCCCAAAAATGTGCGACTATATATTTGATTGGATCATTCACGCTCTTTCTAACTTATAAAAGCAATTCATCGCAGACGATTCAAAAAGTTGGGAACCACCTCCGCTTATCATAACTATAAAATAAGTATTTCCTCATAAAATCAGCGTATGTAAGTAAACAATTTACAAAAAATATAGGTTTGTTAATTTAATCACAAACGCATAATCTAGAAAACCTATTAGTCTATTCATAATAGGTTTTCAGAGTGTTCTATTACCTTCAAAGTGATTATTTATAATATTCTATATTGCCCTTTTCGAAAATATGTCGGATCCCGTAATTGGAAATAGGAGATGAATATACGAAAACAAGCTGCTAGGGCAAGTGTCCTGCTATATGATATGGAGGGATGTGGTGCTGTTATACTATTTAAAATAGATTCAAGGTATTTTCATCTCTTATGAGGTACAGGTTGAAATAATAAGTATACTTTTGAAAGCGGATAAAATCTACGTTTTACTCTCACAACCTTCGATCCTTACTTTAATCCTTCACTTTTCATTCCGGACATTAACTCTACTACATTTTACACCTGACAATGACCATCTTCCCTGTGAATATAATTCATTTATTCTCTGCTTAATATATTACTTGATTTATAATAAATATCATTTTATTGAACTCAAACTGAACCTGAACTTATGCCATCAGTGATCCGATTTTATGAACCTTGGTTTAAATAAACCACACCCTGAAGAAAATTTTCCAACAAGATACACATAACCTTCATTAATACTTAAATGTATTAATAATCCGAAACAAGATAAGAAAACTAAACTCCAATTCAAAAACTCAAACATACCTAACCTAGGGTATCTAGCTATAACATCCATAACACAATAAATACCATTTTATGCTTTGATGGTTTCAAGAAAAGCACAAGAACAATTGAAGACCCCTTTTCGACATTGAGGAAACTCATGTACAAATCAGGTACAGTCTACGTAAGTCTAGTCGTTTCAAGTAACAAAAAATGTCTGTCGAAGGTCCAATGAGAGATCTAACAAAACAGGAAACTGGATTATATCAAACTGCCATTATTCATACCAAATGCGATGCAGCAAATAGTAATTTCATCATCACCACAGCTTTCATTCAAAAACCTTCTTTGAAAGCAAGGAGAGCGAGTGGCTACAGGCAAAATGCTCCATTGTTCAGCAGAGGCACAAAAATGTCACAAGACGATTTTGACAGATTCTCATGATTAAGCCTCAGCTCCCGTTTCCTTTATTTGGATTGATGTCTTAGTTAAGCTTGCTTCCAATTCATTTAACTCATCCATGTCCAACTCATCTTCGTCATCAAATATGTCATCATCAGCACCGGCTGAGGTGCTGGGACCATCTTGAGCAGCATTTCCATTACCCTGAAGTTCGATCCAGCAATTAGAAAAATAAAAGATACACTTGATGTAAAAAAGGACATCAGTTTAATACTTAAAGCACACATTTTAACTGCATATTGAATAGAGGAAGAAATGTAAGAGACCTGGTGCTAGAGACATACTAATAATTAGTCCTTTTCATGAAAGAGAGAAAACCTCAAACTGTCTATAAATCATAATTCAAGGCCTCCATGACCAAAGGAAAAAACATAAGAACATGATTGATAACAGATGTATGAAATGCATACACTGAAATGTGTAATATTTTTCATTTTTCTATTAATAAATGTGCAGAACTAATGTATGAAAATACAAATAACTGGCACCAATTTTGGACTGTATTTTAAAGCCAGTTATTTCTTCTTTCACTGGAGTTTTGGTTATGTTAATCAAAATGTTATAAAGACATGTTCTTGAGTTTGTTTGTACAGAAATGTAAATTGAAATGTGCCGTTGTGTTAATTACGTCCTTGAGGCAAAAAGAAGACATCTTTTTACAATACGTTTATTTAGAATGATTTAGACGGAGTGAAAAAAAAAAAAAAAAGTAGAATTTTTATAACACTTATTCTTTATTTAACATTTATTTTCATATTTCACTCATACAAATAAGAAAACATCACTCCTTTTATTTTCTGTGTTTTACTTGTGATTCAAACAAAGTGTGAATGATTGGGATGGACCAATTAACCAGCAACCTAGGTGTCAAGCAGTAATAAAAGGCACAATATTACTTCAAAGGTCAACACAATCTAGGTGCAAGCAGGAAGGCAAAATTGTTATTCAATAACTTCTACCTTAAATTTTTGGAACTCATTGCAGGTAAATTATATGCCATTACAAGAATGGGATTTTAGCAACAAGCACAAGTTGTGCACTCAATACAAACCAAGTCCTCCGAGATGATTTGGCAATTCACATACTAACTACCTTACAAACCACGGGAGCTTCTTTATAAAATGTAATGAAGAGAATCATACAAAATCAACTCTAAAAACAATTCGATCTGCTGAAGTATAATTAGGGCTCAAAAATCACACATTGCACTACACACCATTGTCACAGATGAACCCTGAACTCTATGCAAATATATTAGCTCAAGTTAAACATCATAATGGGGAAAGCAAATTCCTAAAAGCCAAGCTGGTGAGAGAAGAATCACCACCTTCAATCAGGGTTTTGATGCCCACATTAGGTTGGTGAGGTACTCATACTCATGAGTAGAGTCATGAAGTTGCAATAAAGGTCAACTAGACACTAATTAAAAGATCGTCACATTTCCTCCCAAGGGGACGGCCCCATGGCTAACATTCAATACTTCCACTTGGAGATCTTCCATGTCGTTTAATGAGGAAAAAAATGTTTTTCCAATTCAAAAACATGTTTTGTAAAAGTTCCCAGTAACTAGACTAGTTTTTTCAAAAAAAGATAACATCAAGTGAAACTTTTCTGGTGTGATTCTCAAATCAAAAGCTACAAATGCTATATTAATTTAGCAAAAAAAAAAAAAACACAAAAGGGTTATATCATAAAAGTGAATTTTTTTCTAAAATCGACCCAAATGTCCGCTAACCTTTATTTATGTTTGGATGGAGAGGAAAGAAAACATTGAAATTTGAAAAAATAATTGTTTGGTTGAAGAGAAAATAAAGAGAAACAAGTTGACTTAGGAATCAAGTTTCAATTTTTTCTCCCAGTTTTCTCAAAAATTCAATTTTCAACTCATTCAGGGTAAATCCTAGCTGGCATCAAATAGGCTGGTGGCATATGGAGGGGGCAGGGGGACCTACAGCTACACCCTAATATGGAACCCACATCACAATGAATTTTAAAGCAAAGCTTAACAATGCAATGGTCTATATGACTCAAAAACATGATCACTTTACTTAGAATTTATTAATATTTAAATGAGAGGGTATATCATGATTATATATTACAGTAGCACTCAGTTCTATTGCAGGTACTGCAATTCACTCATCACAACTACATAAATTCAGTAGCAGCCAATTTGATCATAATTTTTTTAAATGTTTGCAGTTGTGAAATTTTTATTCTGAAGAAAAGCCACAACATTCCAGTAATTGTGGTCACACTAAAGGTTTTTAGTGAATGGAAATCATCTAGCAGCATTTATCTTAGATTTGCAGTCAACAGGTTGGTTATCAGAATTTGAATTATACTAAATCATATGTGGAGATGTGGAGAAGTCAGATAAGACTAAAAAACTTACATTCTGTTCAGTTTCATCAATTTCTGGTTCTCTCTGATATTTTTCATATGCTTCTGCATCATCCACAAACAAACTAGCATTTGACAAAAATAGCTCCCGACCACTGCATTGGAGGAGAAAATAATGCAACCAGATTAGCAGGGGGGAAAGGTAAAATATTGTTCACCTTCATAACAACATGCGGCTCCCACAGTTTTTCACATTTTTTTATTGGAAAAGAGGGAGGGGACCATATACATACATTCACACGTCAATGTATGGAGGGAATGAATAGTGAATGTACCTCATTCGGTCATTCTTAGCCCTCTCTGCCTGCTGTGCAGCTAAATTGGCATCTCTTTCTTCTATCTTTTTCTTCTTCCATTCATAGAATAAGTCAGGAGTCATAGGAGTCGTAGTTGTCACTTTGGCACGCTAAACCATGTAAAATGTTTTGTTAGATAACCTGAAAAAATAATATGGCATAGCTTCTAACAAGACAAAAATATTCACCTGATTTTCAATCTCCTCTTCGATTGATAGTTTATCAGCTTCTTCCTCTAACAAAGCCTTCATTTGGGATTTCAAAACATAACCAGGCGGAAGAGCATGTCTATAATGACAACTCTTACCACCATTGGGGCAGACCCAAAACCAACCATATTGCTTTTTTTCTACCGCATCCAAAAAGTGTTTGCATACCTGGACATATCAAACAAATAATAAACAGCAGTCATTTCGAGTAGCACAAGCCAAAGTACAAAAACAATTTGAACATAATCCAATACCACAAAACATCCAATAGAAGCCCCCACAATCAACCAAAACCACAATGAACCAGTAAAAGAGAAAATGAATAACAAACAAATCAATGTAACAGTTAAGATTCCAGGTTTCCAACAGATCAATTAAAACATACTATGTCAGTTGGTTTATTCTGATTATATTCAGTTTTCTTCGACTCCACCACCTTCTCCAAGGTCTCTTGATCCCAGTCCTCCATTGTTTCTGACAACACGACCCAAACGAAAAATTTAGAAAAACAAAAAAGTCATCAAAACCAAAACAACACGTAATAATTAAATATCATCATTAGACTCCATGCAATACCCTGGTCACGCTTATCACTGTAAATGTCAATCTTTTCCCCTTTCCTCTGAACATTCAAATCATGCGAAAACTTGCATTTGAAGCCCTTGGCACACTGCCCCACTTTATAAAACTCACACAATATGGACTTTGGATCAACACCTGACCAAAGCAAACTCAGATATATTAGTTTCCACTTTCCATCAACACCAATCGACAAACAAATAACATTTTTACCAAAGAAAAAAAAAAGTAATTCTAAAATAATTAGTTCATTACCAACTGGCACTTTAGGCTGTGTAACAGCTATTTTGAACAAATCATTTAGCTCCTTCTCCTTGGCCTTCTCTTCCTCCTTCTTTTTCTGTCATCACCATCACAGACAAAAGTTTTCATCAGTTACAATTACAAACCAATAGTAAAACTTATAATCAACAAAAACAAATAAAAAAGAAAAACAGAGATACATGTATATCAAATACCTTGGCATCGACTTTGGCAGGATCAACCCTGGGCTGCACGGATTGCTTAAGGTTCTGGACATACTTTTGAACATTTTTGCTCTTGTTTTTGTTCTTAAGACCGAAGGTTTTGTCCTCTACAATCTTCTGCTTCTTCGCTATATCAGCTTTCGATTGCTGCTTTGGCGGCATTTTTTATCGGCATCAAAAATTAATAAATATATGCGTTTATGATAATATTAATCGCTTCGATGAAAACCGCGATTAATCGAAATAGGAGAAGATATGATCGAAGTGAGGATCTGCGTGGTGTGAATGAAGATGACGTTGAGAGGAGAAAGAGGTTTGGTTTGGTTGGGTTAGGTTAGGGTTCGGGGGAGAGAGGCGAGGGGTGGTGTAGATTCCAGAACATTGCAAAGAGTTTCAATTCCCGATTTACCCCTCAAATGCACATTTGCTTAATTATAACTTTTTTTTACCAGAAATGGAGTTACAAGTTACAACTGATTTGTTAGTACTACAAAAACATAAAAGAGAAAGCATGTTATTTTTTATTATATTAAACTTCATATCTTGTGATTGAAAAACTAAAATACAAATTTGATTTGTTGAAATAAATATCATTGCGAAAATCCAAATAAAAAGTACAAAAATAAAAATAATGATTACTACGTCCTTTTTCATTTATATTATTAAATGTATTTTTTTAGTGATATAACCGTTTTATATTATTATTTTCCTGTTAAAATATTTTTAATTTTCTCTTTATTAATTGTTGCATAGATTCTTTATCAAGATTTTAAAATATTATTATGGATAAAATAAGAAAATAATTTATAAACGAGAGAGTCTCCTTATATATTACCGTGGGTATATGCATGTAATTTTTCATAAAAATGCTTTTATTATATTTTTTTTAGTTAACTTTTGTTAGCTATAGTGACGTAAATGATAAGTTTTTATCAAATAAAATAAAATTTATTATTATTATATATAATTTAAAATAAAATTACATTTAATTTATTTTATCATCGTTCCACAATTAAATTATTTTTTTATGATGATAAAACAAACTTAATTCATCCGAGGTTTTAATCTATTTTATCTTTTGTTCAGAAAAAATAAAATGAGGCAGATTAATCTATTATAATATGTAAATAATTTTTTTATATATAAATTTTTTTATGAATTTTTTAAAATATATATTTAATTATATGAATAAATTTTTAGTTTTTATTTATTAATTAATATTTTTATTAGATAAATTAAAAATTATTATATTTATATACTCAAATAATAATTATAATTAATAATTTAAATTTTATTTATTATTTTTTATAATTTAAATTATAATATTATAATATATTTATATATTTCCATAACATAATATAAAAAATATAATATTTTTAATTATATATTTTTTATTTTAACTCTAATATATGAATATATTTTTAAAGTAAGTTATCGAACTAATCCATTTATGAGGTAAACATTAACATATATTTATTATTGATTTTAAAAATTAAATAATATATTATCAATAAATAATAAATAAATATATATATTTATTATTAATTTTAAAAATTAAATAATATATTATTAATAAATAAATATAAAAAAATTAAAAAAATAAATGAGTAAAAAATAAAATTGTAAATATATAAATAAATAAAATAATGATTAAATTTGAGAAATTAAAATCATAAATTATAAAAAAATTATTAAACTAAAATGAAATTGAAAAAATAAAATTATAAATATATATATATATATATAAATATATTAAATAATTATTAAATTTAAAAATACTAAAATTACAAATTCGTTCATCAGGATGTACTAAATTTTAGGAATTATGATCCTCTCACAACATAAAATCACTTGTATGTCCCATATACTCCACTTTCGTCTTTTATTCACTTTAAACTCTATCTCACGAGTTTTAAATGAAATTTGTGATGTGTAAATTGATGATTTGTTTTTCTTTGAAATAAATGTTTTTCCGAATTTTACAAGTACCATCTGAAATTAATTTAGTTTAAGCTTTTTCTAGCAAATTTTGTGGTAGGCTGAATGAGCTATAGAAGAATATAATTAGAAAAGTATAATATAATCTATGTGTTTGGGTGAGAATTATCGTAAGATTGTTTAGGATTCAGTTGTAATACTTTAAGACTAAATTAATGGATTTTGTAGTATCTATTCTTTACATAATTTTTTCCTTTCACTTCAACGAAAAGACTTTTAAATTTTGGAAGGTACTCTCAAATTCATTTTTCTCACACAATCATAGTTTTATTGAAGTAAAATGTTTCAAAAGGGATAAATTAACTCGATTTCATTTTATCTCAAATAAAAATATTTTTCTCATTCCAAGGAAATTTGCTTGAAAGACTTTGTTAAAGTCCACAACTTGAAATTTTACGGAAAAAAAAAGCAATTCAAGATATAAAAACACTTTTAAGTAACATTTATATATATATATATATATATATATATATATATATATATATATATATATATATATATATATATATATATAAATAAGTTTTCTAATTGTTAAAAAAACTTAATTTATTTTTTAATTATACTTTTTCCTTTTTCTTCTTAAATTTTCATGAAAAGTATTAAAGTTATATTTAGAATTACAATATGTATTTTATATTATTAAGACTTAAAATTAAATTATAATTTTTGATGATATAACTTTATTAATAATAAATTATGTGAGAAATTGCTATTATAATAATACTTTTGCAAAATAGTAAACAAGTAAATAACAACATTTATATTACATTATACTACTCGTAATTGTAATATAGACTAAAATTTTGGTTTATTGGTGGAACCTCAAAACATAGTAACATAATTTATTTATATATTATACATGCAAAAGTAGCTCCCACAAAGCTCTGTTGTCCAATAGTCGTATCTCCACCTCTCAATTTATGATCTGCTCCCACATAAAAGTGATCATCGCAGTCTCATCCACATGAAAAAATAGGGGTAAGTATTAAATCATTCGATATAATAAAACAGGTATAGAAGTAATAATTACATATTATCATCAATTACAAATCATCAATACACTAAGACGCCTTCTGGAAATCTACCCTAACTATGTCTGAACTCAGAGACTATCATCTATGGGCACATTGTGATCGGCACCCACAGTACCATTCTGACCACCTTCCACACAGAGTAGGATTATTGGCGCCCTTCATCACTCATACTGGAGTACCCCTCCGAGCGCGCCACCAGTCATCCCCTCATCGACTTCTCACCACTTAATATCGTAGTCTACCTGACCCGACCAATCAGTGAAGTCTGGGACCTCATTCAGAATCATCCGACATAGTTATTACACTAAAGTACTTTGTACCACCCCGGGTACCATTCAAACACAACAAAAATCAATCACATTTGTCGGATTCTGGACCACCTGTCCTCACGACTCATTCAAGTCAATAAATAATAGTACTTGACTAATTCTGGGTACCAACCCTCCGACTCAGTCTAGCCAATACATAACATCTCATAATTGATTATGGGCATCAGCCCTTAGACTCAGTTTGACTCACACATGTCACAACACACTACTAAATCTTTAAAACTGTTACATTCATTCTATATTTTAAATATATATATATATATATATATATATATATATATATATATATATATATATATATGTTCTTCTTCTTCTTCTTCTTCTTCTTCTTCGAAATCATTAAATTATTATTTTGTTCTTAATCTTTTCTGAAAATTTTATGTATGTCCCTAAATGACTATTTTACCATTGGACATTTTTAAAAATTCCTTCCATGTCCCAAAAATGACTATTTTACCCTTGAACATTTTCAAAAATTCCTTCCATGTCCCAAAAATGACTATTTTACCCTTGAACATTTTCAAAAATTCCTTCCATGTCCCGAAAATGACTATTTCACCCTTGAACATTTTCAAAAATTTCTTCCATGTCTCGAAAATTACTATTTTACCCTTGAACATTTTTTAAAATTCCTTCCATGTCCCTTTCTTCTTCCTCGCGCCAGTAACACTATCAAAATTTGTAAATTTTAGCAGATTTCAAATTACTCAGTTTTAGACAACCAAACTAGTCCTAAATTCAAATTAAACATGAATTATATCTAATTTAAGTTGAAAACGACAATTTTACCATATAATTCATCCTTAATTTTAAGAATTTCAAAAACTTTCAAATGGTAAACAGTTCATCAGAATCAGAAATTCTTCAAAATCAGACATTCAAATAATTCATATCTCTACTCATATTCCTTATTCACAGAGTACCCAACAATTCAATTTCATATATTGAATGAATTAAACTTCACCTTACCTAGTGTGGTATTTCTACCGAAGATTTCCCACTTAATTCAAACTCTATCCCGTTTCACTATATCCTGCACAAGTAGAGTATCGTTGCTTGAAATTTAGATAAAAGAAGAAGAAGGATGAGAGGGAAATTTAGATTCCGCCTCCTCCCCTGTTTCTATAAGCACATATATAAGAAAAATTGTACTGTGCATGAGGAAAACTTCGTTACGAAGTTTTATTGCACAAGTAATATTATTATAATAAAAAAAACATATGTCACATGATTTATATTGAATAAATAATTGACGAGAATAAGATACATGATTTGAGAAGTATTGTGTAAAAAGATAAATGGTAGAGTTTGTATATGATTTTAATTAAACTAATAATTGTTAAGGAAGTACTTGTTAAATATAATGTGAGAACTATGTTACGTGAAAGATATTATTTTGGTGATCAATTCACATAAATTAAGGTGTCAAATATTGAAGAATTAATAGAGGTTTTTGTCATCATATCTAAGGTATCGTCCATTTTAAAGGTATAATTTGTAACAAATTTGTTTTTAAAAGATATATCAATTGATTGAGAAAGAAAAAAAAATATATATATATATATATATATATATATATATATATATATATATATATATATATATATATATATATATATATAAACTACTCTGGTTTCAATTCCTAAATTATGTAAGATTTATGAGTATACTGGGACGTAGTTCGTAATTGAGGATTAAGAAATATGAGTGAAACAAAACTCTATATTTTGACTGCATGATGGGTACCAAATATTTTTACCTAGGTTTAGAGGGTTAACTGAGTTTTACATAAGGATTAAGAGGTATGAGTGAAACAAGACTCTATTTTTTACCGCATGGTGGGTACCAAATATTCTTACCTAGGTTTAGAAGGTTAATTGAGTTCTACATAATTGAAGATTAAGAGGTAGGAGTAAAACAAGACTCTTATATTTTACCACATGGTGGGTACCAAATATTCTTAACTAAGTTTAGAGGGTTAACTGAGTTCTACAAAGTAGTCTCTGAATTGTTCCAATGTACGGGGAGAATCTTTTGCAAAGACTTTATAATACTTACGCCAATAGATGAGTGAGTGAGTAATAAAATAAAAAATGTGTATGCCAAATGGAAAAACATAATAAATCTTTTAAGGGTAATATCCTAGTAATTACTCAATAATCATGGGATATTTATTTTATCATTCATGTGTCTATACTTTCGTATAGGTACTGAGTATTTTTGTCATGTAATATCTTAAAGAGGTGTGATTAGTTATATCTGACTTAATCCTTTTAATTATAACTTATTAATATCAAGCATGGAAAGATAAAAAGTGAGGATTTGCAATGAAAGTTGGAAATCAACCTTGAAAAAATAAAATAAAAATTCTTCTCCCATGCTTATGCTAAGAAAAGAGAAGAAAGAAAATTGTCCATAGACATAATCAATTATGTCTTAATTTGTTAAAATATTTTTTTCATGTTTTAATTATTATAATAATAAATAAATTAAATAAAATATTAAAATGATAAAAAATATATATTTAAATATTAAAAAATAATATTTTAATTAAACATAACAATTTTATTTTCTATAAATTTTTACTCTTTTTTTCACTTTTTATTTTTTATTTTAGTCTAAACAATCTCACTTCCTATTATTTTTCTCACTCTTGAAATTCATTATTCAATCCAAATACACAGTCAATATATCAGTTAAGATAGATAAAAGTCTAAACAATATAATTAAGTATTTTGTCGAATTAGCTCAAAATAAACTTATCTTCAAATAAAAATTCATATTTAAGTTTAAAACATAATTAAGTTTTAAAAAACATAATTTAAAATAAAAGTTTACTCGTTAATCCGATTTTCAATTAAAAACCTTAATTAAGTTTTGTCTTCATTAATATAATGATATTAAAACAAATTAGATTTATATTTATTTAAAAGTCAACCTATTAGGTTATAAATTTTTATGTGCTTATGAGTTGTACTTTTAATGAAGATAGAAAAGAGGAGAGATGTTTATTCAATTCCTCCGTTTGTTTCAATGAACTTGAGAAGAAAGGCATATAAAGATCCTTAAACAAATTTTTTGTGGAGAAGAAAAAAAATGAAAAATACTTAACTTTGAAACAATCATAAAATCAAAATAAGATAATTATAATTGATATATAAACACGATTATGACTTTTTTTTAATGATAATAAGACTATTAATTAATAAATAAAATAATAACATTAAAAAATAAAATTATTTAAAAAATAATAATTTTACTTTATATTCAGTTCTTGTTTGCTTTTTCTAAGTTATTGTTTGCTTTTTCTAATTTCAAAAAATCTCCCTTTTTATTTTATTTTTTTCTTGTCTTTCTTTTTCTACTCCTTTGTTTCCACCGTCTAATCCAAACAAAATTAAAAAAAATACTCAACCAATTGTATTTTCTTTCTTTTTCCACTCAATCACATTCACCTCCAATCGAAATAAAATTAAAAAGCACTGAATCAATTGTAAAGGACTCGAGTTTTATAATTTAATGATTATATAAAACTCAGTTCTCCGTTTACTGATGGAAGAATATGTAACAAATCGACAGAAAACTAAAAACACAATCAGAAAAAACATAGATCACTAACTTAAATTTGAAACAGTTTAGAATACTTAAAATTCATCCAAGTTCCAAGTGTAAATTGGGTGGAGATGCTACAGCATGACCCAGATGTTGAGACCATAGTGGCATAACCACCATTGCAATCCTTGGATATAACTACTTTACTCACAAGTCAACCAAACTTTCAGCTGCAATTTCAAGGGCAAATAATGTTGTACTGATCGGACACAACTGCAGAGACCTACAATGCTTTCAGTTCAAAATTTGGCTAGATCGAGCAAAACTCACGCATTTCAAAAGTAGTCCAGTTTATAATTTATTAAATCCAGTGTCCTGTTAACTGATGCAAGAACAAGAAGAAAACAATAAGATAAGATTATAAACTCAGTCTGAAAAAACATAGACTGTCCACATAGTTTTTAAACGAATTTTCAATGAAGGGTACTAAAAAAAATCATCCACGTTCCAGTATAAATTGGGTGGAGATGGCACAACATGACAAAGCGGATGGGACATGTTGTGCCATAGCATAACCACTATCCTAATTCGTAGATATTACATTTCTCACAGGTCACAGCCAGTCCTTCTGCTGTAACTTCAAGGGCAAATAAACTTCTGAAAGATATTGAAAACCAAAGGTACTCAAAGCCTGTATTTCAGCTTTCTGCTTAGTTTTGACCATCAAACTTAATTCCTCAACCCAACCTGGATTTTTTTTAACAAAATCCTCCTCCAACAAGTCCTTCCCAGTCTTAATATCCTGCTCCGTCATTGGCAACCTACACTGCTCAGGTATCTTGTACTTGTCCAAATCACTTGGCCGAACCCCAAGCCACTTGATATCAGGAGTAGTCAAGTTGGCACTGTCATAGGACATGTTCTTTGACCCACACCCATAAACCGACAGAATCTTTAACCCGTAAGGATCACTGTCAACGAGAGCCAGCACTGGCAGCTTCAACTCCGTCTTCATCTTCCTCAAGAACAGCCTAGTGGAAACATCTGGCTGGCCTTTTGCAGTTACAATTATGCATGGAAAGCGGTTGTAGAACCTATCCTCAGCCAACCTCATGTAAGCAGCATCCTTCTCCACCAACAGAATGAACAATGCGTCACTCTGCATATCCCCAACTCGATCAATATTAGGTGGAATCGCCTTTCCTCCCATCCCCATTTTAGTGCAATCAATCATATCCCCATTGTCACTGAAAATCAACCTCCCAACCACCACCCCTTTCTCTGCAGCTACAACATTGAGGCTGGACCTAGTGCACCCCAGCATACACGAAACATCATCCAGAACAGCATCGGATTGGATCTGATTCACAAAAAATTGGTGAATTGCGTACCTTTTTCAAAACAACATCATTAGCAAAAATGATAAATGATTATTTATTTGAGTTAATGATATTTTGTTGTCCCCATTAAATTGCCAATTGCTGCCTTTTGTCCCTGATTTTAGAAAGGCTCCCCTTATCATCCCTGCATTTTCTAAATACCCAAAATTGTCATACAATCTAACACTCTAACTCTGTTATTATAGAATTACTTAATGATCTTTCTAACTAGCATTCTATTCATGAAAACATAGATTTTGCCCACTTGTTAGACAGATTATGAAGCAATTATTCAATAACTTGTTCTTTTTATCGAGACTGCAGATACCCTTTACGGATGGCAATCTACTGATGACAGAGACCACTATATGCGGCAAAATTCTCTCTTTGAATGTTTAACACACTTGTGTCTAATGATAAATTTTAAACCAATAGTTAAACTAAAATAACCTAGTAGCAGTTGATCCACACAGTCGGCTGTTAGTCTTAGCAGAGTTCAGCACATTGTTATCTAACTTAATAGAATTAGGATATGTAGGAACAAACTTATTGATACGTACTCCTAGGAGAGAGAGAAAAAATAAGACGATAAATTAAATAAACTTGTACATAAATTAAAACTAGCTTATACATGAATTAAAATCATGCATTGGATATGCTAACACTAGAAAACTTCTACAAATCATATTTTATATAAGCTAAAATTAATTAGATTTGTTATCACGAGAGAACTTCTACAAATAGTTTTTACATAAGCTAAATTTAGCACTTGGAGAAGCACAAGTCATCTTTCCGTGCTATATTTTCTCCCAATAGTTTATATGAAACAATTTATTCAAGCATCCTTTAGATATGTTAACACTAGAGAACTTCTACAAATCATAAATAAGCTAAAATTAGCTCTTGGAGAAGCACATTTCATTTTTCCGTTGATATGAAACAATTAACTCAAGCATCCCCAACAATTGAGAAACGAAAGCTTGGTATGAAGTATATCCGTAAATGCAGGCATGAGAAGTAGAGGTTTTCAAAGTCAGGACAACAAAAAAAAGTTGACAATTTCACGTAGATAGATTTGAATCATTAACCCTTTAATTGCTGATGGAATGAAAAGGGGATCCAATGAATAAATAGATGATACCTGGTCTTGGAAGAGTTTGACGTCGGTGTAGAAGAGGTCACGCTTAGTGACGTGGATGCCCTTGAGACAGAGCTGGTGGATGAGTTGGAGGATGCGGGCGGTGATGGCGGACTTGCGCACGGTGGAGATGTTGGCGAAGGGACGTTGGGAGGACTTATCCTTCAGCACGATGCGGTCCAGCTCCGCCACGTAGAGCTGGTTGGCGGCGGAGCGCGAGGGCACGTCGAAGGAGAAGCCTTGCCCGGAGAGTATGGAGTGCGCGATCTTCAGGATGAGGGACTCGATGTTGGACTGCACTGAGGTGAGGGACAGGTCCGCCACCTCTCGGCACCGGAATGGGAGGGCCAGGTCCTGAAGCGTTAGGGTTTGAGGGACGGAGGAGGAAGAGGATGCGGTGGAGAAGTCTTTTAGGGTTTCGAGGATTGACTCGTCGGGTTTCAGCTTGTTCTTGAAGGGGAGCTCGTCGCCGATTGGATCCTTCCGCCGGCGTTTTTTGTTGTCTGCCATTGACGGGCGGGAAATGAAACGAAACGAAACGCGGGTTTTGACCCTGACAGGGAGTGTGGTGCCAAAGGAGTGTTTTTTGCTAGCTTCAGTCCCTCTTGATAATACATATTTGATAATTACAAAAGGCTATCAACTTTTGTACGGAGGTTTTCAATCGAAGGATTTGTGACATTTATCTAATCCCGTCCCCAAACTTGTTAAAATACCAAATTTAATTTTTGTTTGGTTATCAAAGAGTAAATTTATAAGAAATTGAGATAAGAGGAAATAAAAACAAGTTATTAATAAGACGAGTTATCAATTTATATAATTTTCTCACTAAATTTAGGATAAAGAAAACTACATGGTACAAATAATTTATTTAAATTACAATAACCGATTAGAAGTAATAATAAGGTAGAAATACAAATATTTTTAATATTAAAAAAATGTAAAATATAAAAAATTAATTATACAAATCAATTCATTAAGCTCCACTATGTATAAAAAAAAAACATAAGAGAACTTAATAAATAGATCATCTTATACGTTAAAACAATAAAATTGAAAAATAAATAAGAAAAAATAAATAAAAGACCTTGTGCGAAGTTGATTAGGATTTTCAAACTAAACTACCATCCATCAAAACAAAGAATGTAGTATTATAAATGTAATGTCCAATTTTTAATTTGATCTAACAATAAAAGAACTGATAATTGTAATTTTATTAAAATTGATGGATGAATATGTTAAATAATTTTTCTCCTATTTCTTTTTTTCTAAAAACTACAAAATTAATATTCATTCTCTTTTAAAAAGACTCTCATCATTTGAGTTAAACAAAACAAAATGGATTTGATAAGTTTTGAATTCTTTTACATATATTTAATAATCTAACCCAACATATCTTCCATCTCACAGTTATATAAAGGAAATCATCCAACAATCTTATAATAAGCTTTAAGCTTCTACATAATATCTTACTCATCACATCAATACTATTGTCATTAATATAAACTCTATTCAATTTTAACAACTTAATATATCTTAGTCATCACATCAATATTATTGTCATTAATATAAACTTTATTCAACTTTAACAACTTAATATCTAAAACATTACCTATCTAATAATACCTTATATTAATATAGTTGGATATATAATGAAAATATGATTCTTATCAAGATTGATAATACTTTAGTAAATAACACTTTGGTGGATAATTATGATGCACAAAATCAAACTCTTATAAAAATTTATTTAATCATAGCAACCCATTGCATATTTTAGTAATGATAACAATGAATTATGTCTCTACAGTAAATAATGTTATACGTCTCTATAATTTTGATTGTAAAGTCACAATTACCCTTGTAGCTTAATTAAATAAAGTGAATTTTGTGGAATTAATATCTTTAGTAATGTGAATATGAGTATCCCGTCAAAGTAAGTTTAGGGATTGTGTAGTATTATGCTGCAATCAATATAGATAAATTACCTCTTAAGTCAGTTAGAAGCTGATATTGATCCGAGTAAGTTTCAAGTTGTTGTGGAAGATAACAAATATTATAGTAATCATAAGCAAAACCCAAATCTCTTTCCCCCATATAAATGACAATAAGCTCCAAAAATATTAAATAAAAGATAAATGATGATGTGCATAAAAAATAGAAAGTCAATAAATAAGAAGACACCAAATTTTAACGTCAGAAACCCCTGATATGAAGGAAAAATCGAGGGGACCTAATCTGACCAAAACTTCTACTAATAATAATTAATGGGTATAATATAAGTTTTATTGGAATCACTAATGATAAACAAATAATTTATCTTCACCAATAAAATAAATAACAAATAACACTAACAGGTATCTAACAAGATAATAGAGAACAAAAATACAAAGTAATGAGAACAACAAAATTTCCTCTCCGAGCTAACTTCTCTGCATGAAACTACTTTAAATAGTACATTATTCTTCTCTTCTCGTAATGACTTCTTTCTGTATCTCATTACAGAGACACTTCTTTATTCTTTGCTTTTTTTTTTCTTCTATTTTCTATTTGCCCTAAAAGACTTAGATGCAAATAAATATAATCTTATAATGAGTCTATAACTCACAAAGAAAAATATCCTTGTGAAAGCAATGAGGGGAAGATTGATGGAAATGTCCCTACATTCCCAAGAGATGATTTTGATGATGATTCAAGTCAACTACATTCAAGTCAACATCATTCAAGATGAATTAAGGACAAACTGAATTTAAGACGTTAGTGACAATGTGAAACATTTCCCTAAATGCCCAAGATATGTTTTTGATAAAGATGATGATTCAAGCAAGCCCAAAATGATTCCTGAAGACTAGATAGAGTCTTAAAATACTAGATATGGAGGTACAAGTTGATGAAGTAATATTATACATAAGTCTCAAAAGCACAAGTGTGATAAAATTCATAACATATATTTTTCACTGTCATAATCAATTATGATGCATTAGAATGGAAAAATGATTTTCTCAGTCATAATTTATTATACTGGTAACATAATCAATTATGAAAATTCAAATTTGAAAAATATATTTGTTTTGAAGAATAAATGTTTTTAAATATATCCCGATTTTTTATTCATGAAAATATTAATGTCCAACGACCATTTTCTGATGCTATTTTTCTATTTAATTAAGTTTTGATGAAAAATAAAAAGCACACACAATTACATAATTCGAAAATACAATTTACATTTATTCAGTTTTGAGAAAAGAATTTTGAGCAAGGCAACAAAGATATTTTACACCTTCTGATAAAACTCTATTCTCTACTGTCTTCTGTACTTTCATTGTTAATCACACTTGGAGATTGACATTCTACATACTTCTACAATTTGTTGTCTCCATTACCCAGGTGTGATTGTTCTTATCTTACTCCTTTATCCTTTGTGGGTTTAGGAGGTATTTTCATCCCTTTGATTTGTTCAGGGAGGTATTCATCCCTAGTGTGATTCTAGGGAAGTGTTCATCCTTAGTGGGATTCTAAGGAGGTGTTTTTCATCCTTTAATTTGTTCAGAGGAGGTGTTCATCCCTAGTGTGATTTTAGGGAGGTGTTTATCCTTATTGAGATTCTAAGGAGGTGTTTTTCATCCTTTGATTTGTTCAGAGGAGGTGTTCATCCCTAGTGAGATTCTAGGGATGTGTTCATCCTTAATGGGTTTCTAAGGAGGTGATTGTTTTTTTAATTAGTTTACTTTTTATTGGTTCTTCTGCTAAGTTGATTGTAATTTGTAAACTGAATTTGAAAGATAGTGAATTAGGAGTCACTCTTGTGTTAAGAGTTGAAGGGGAACTTGATGTAAGATTGACTAATCCCGAACCAGTATAAATCATTGTGCGCTCTTCTCTTCTCCTTATCTCTTTCTCTTTTCCTGATTATATTATCACTTCCATTTTATCTGTGTTCAAACAAATTATTTACTCACAAATAAATTTTTAATTTGACATCTATTAAAATTTGTGCATCTATTCACCCCCCTCTAGATGTCATTTTTCTAACGTCTTATTCTTTTTAACCTAGTCAGTATAGACTCAATAAATTGGTGACTCACCTGATACAAGTAAAATATGACTAGTGAGACTTTAAAATTAAGGTTCACAATTCCAAGAACATCAATTATCCTTAGTGAAAGAGTTGAAAATTTTTACTTAGAATCCTTTTTGCTAAAACATTTTGGCATCCACCATAAAGTTTAGGTAAAACTATTCTACCCACAATTTTTACAGTATAAACACATGAGAAATGAGGTAAGAGAAAAATCATGAATATTCTAAGCATAATGAGAAAGAAGATTCATCCTTAATTAAGGAAATTATGAAAATGAGGAGGTTCATTACAAAGTTAAAAAAGGCAATTTTGTTACAACATAAGAATTAAGAGTTTCAACAAGTTCTACAATATTTCATCAAAGGAAGACAAGTTGACACTAATCACACTCCTAATCAAGTCTTTGAATCAATTTTTTGTTGAAATCATAGGAAACAATCCTTTGAAGTCGCATAGAACCAATAATTTCTCATTACCGAATTCCTAAACTATATCATTTCATTAGATCTCAAAACTCAATTTATTTAAAGACATTTTGGACTTAAATATTAATTAGTGAAAGCTTGAAATTAGTTCAATAGCTTAGAAAAATATGTTAGTGGAAATCTTATAAAAAAACTTTAAATTAATTCAATAGCTTTAAAAAAATCATAAAATTTATGAAAGTATGATAAATTAAATTTAAGTAGCTCAAAATGTAAAATAATCAATATATACTTATATATGATTTTTTAATAAAAAATCCATTTTTATTTTATGTATAAGAATATATTTTATTATATTTTATAACCTTTTTTTAAAATCTTAATTTCTTTTATTTATAGATGAATTAATTTAATTATAAATTTTTTTAGTTTCACTTATTATCTTTATCACATCATAAGATTGTATTATATCTTAAAATACTTTCAATAAAGTTTAAAATTGAATAAAAATAAAGTATATTTAAGTAGATATATTATTTTTTATATAATAATTAGTGTATTGGTTAAAAAATAATTATTTTAAAAAAATCTATGATTATTGATTTCTTGAACTACATATTAATTAATAAAATAAATGTTTTAAATAATATCATAATTAAAATAAATAAAATAATAAAAAAGGAAGAGTACGAAAGAAAAGAAATTAAATAAATAAATAATTTAATTATTTTAAAAGAATAATAAATAAATTTTAAAGTATTTAATTTATTTTCTTTATAACATTGATTCAATAAAAATAAAATAAATATAAAAAGTTAGAAATTAGCGTTTCAAAAACTATTCTAAATAGCGTTTTAAAAAAACTAAAAATAATTACAACACTTATTTATCGAATACGACTAATTCGAGTAAATAATTTTTTAACTAATGGAAAAAAAAAATCTAGTCAAATAAGCAATTTTTATACCAAGCAATAACCAAAATCATTTAATGAAAAATGTTACCAAAATCATAACTAAAAAAAGAAAGCCTTCTCAAATATAACCAAAATCACATCATAAAAAATGTCTTAGCTATTTTTGCTCTTTTAGGTTTTAATATCTTTTCGTGACGAATTAATTTATTTTATTTTAGGATTCAGAATGATTTTTAGTAAAATCCCTAACCAACCGAATATCCCAAATTGAAAAAATCTTCAATACTTTTATAATACTAATTTTCATTTTTTAAATTAAAAAAATACAAAAATAATTAGTATTATACAAAGAAAATAAAAATATTTACTAGATGACTGAACGGGTATTAGTAATTTTAATCTATTGATCTGACATGTCTCATTGAATCTGCAAATTTGATAAATAAAAAATGGATAGAGGATTAATTTTAAAATAATATTTATATATTAAAATAAAAATAAAAATAATTATAAATTAAAAAAAATATTTTTTATATAATTAAAATATCTAAATATATTATAATATTATAATTTAAATTATAAAAATTAATTAATTAAATTTAAATTATTAATTATAATTAATTATTTTAATAAATAAATATAATATTTTTTTCAATTTATCCCATCAAAATATTAATTAATAAATAAAACTTAAAAATTATTCATAAAAATATATTTTTTTAAATATATAAAAATTTTATATAATCTTTGCCATAACTAGCAGAATCTACACAATCCGTTCTGACATCATCATATTCCATTTTTAACCTAAAACTCGGGTTAATGTCAAATTAAAAGTTCCACAAATTGGTATCCTACATAATCACTGCACGAAACCCTAAAAATCAATGTTCGAATCATACATTAAAAACTCAAATTGCATTTTAATTTCAAAGCATTTTAACGACCAAACTTGTAACGTGTAGAATCATTCTCCACGTCTATTTATTGAATTTTGGAATATTTATATTAATATTTCGCTTTCGACAATTATAAATTTATACACGTGCTTTGTTTTTTTTTTTTTTTTTTATGTAGAAATTTTATGCAGCAAAATCTAACAGTTGATATTTATTCAGACATTAGAAAACTTAGAAGAAGAAAATGTCGTATAAATAAAACGAGAAAAGCAAAGAATTAATTAACAGGTTAATCAATCCATCGATCACTCACCGAGTCGTTGATCATTCACCGCAATCTGCAAATCCCATGGCGGCCATAACCCGCCTCGCCAAGCGCGCGTCCTTCGTCTCTTCGCTCGCCACCCGAACCCTCACCTCTTCCCAAGTCAACGCGCCGCCGCATGCCGCTGCGACCTTCCGCCGGTTTCCGCCGCGCGACAACCCGAGCAAGAGGTGTGTGCAGTGGGTTTTCCTCGGGTGCCCCGGCGTCGGCAAAGGCACCTACGCCAGCCGCCTCTCCAACCTCCTCGCCGTCCCGCACATCGCCACCGGCGATCTCGTCCGCGACGAACTCGCCTCCTCTGGCCCCTTCTCTTCCAAGGTTTTCTTCTTCCTCCTCCTCGTGTTTTGAGATAGCTAGGTTAACTTCGAGCTTCATTTTGTGACGTTATTGAAAAATTCTTTGTACGGCATGGCGCTTTTAAAGAAAATGGAGTATAATTATTATTATTTAAAAAAAAAATTAAACAATTGTTTTTCAATCTCAAATATGAACTCTTACTATGATTAACTTAAAAGTCAACTAACCTGAAAGTCATATAATTAATTATTTCTTAGAAATTAAAAGAATTACAATTTCCATTTTTTAGTGATGGTGCATAGAAACTAAATCATTGAACTTGCAGGTTTTATTCTTGTTGGTGGGAGCTAGATAGCTTCATGTATATTGTTGTTCCACTTTGCATAAAAACTACTTGCTTTGCTAGTATTTTTTTTTGCCATTTTGCAAACAAACTTTGGACTCAAGTTCCCTGCATAGGAGTTATAAATTTAAATTCTGCTTAACTGGGTTTTCCTATGTAGATGTGGGAAGGGTTCTTTAAAATATATAAAATAAAACAAAACTTTAGTAATAAGTTTTTAAAATATGAGGGAACTTACACTGAGTTGTCTGTATTGGCAGCCCCATGGCTTAAGGTCGGTTGGCTCGTTGAGCAATCATTATCAACGTGGCTTGATAGGTCTAGTCTCATATCTGCTTGTGGCATCCAAATCTATGTAACTGAATTGAAAGGTCTTCGATCTGGTGATGCATGCGGGAAACTTGGACATCTTAATAGTAATTCGTTGGGTTTGATTTCACTGGAAATTGAAACACTCTCACTCACAGGGTAGTTGTTTTGGTTTTTGAAAATTAATTACTAGTGGGGGGAGTGTCATTGACATTGCATATCTTATTCTCATTTAAACCTGTGATTTTAGATGCATGCTTCTGATGCATTTCAAACATTTCGTCATTACCCTCTTTCTGCTTTTATTTTATTTTGGCTCTACCTATTATATCTGTACAATTTGTTGCAAGACTAACACAACTTGCGGAACGGTCTTGTGGTCAGTTGGTTGTTAACTCCTTATTCTTATTTAATTATAAATATTATCGTATTCACTTTATTACCAGTAGAGCATAATCTTGTTACTTTAATTGCATGTGTAATTTATTTATTGGTTATGAGGAAAATCTACCTGTCCACCAGGCTAGAGAGTCTTTAATTTTGGAACATTGATTTTATTTTGTAATTTTCATTGAACCAAATTCTGAAATGGTATCTAGATTCTCATTTTCATTTTTCCATTTTTAAGTGATTAAGGTATTGGATCTTTTCCTTAAAAAAAAGGGTATTGGATGTTTTACTATTCTTTACTTCTTAAAGATCAGTTGTATGAAAATAAATACGAGCTTTGATTAATACACAGTTACGGTATTTCAATGTCATATGTTGTAGCCTAATTGTTTTCTTTGTCGGGATACAATGTTTATTTTATGTTCATCGGATCGTCTCTTATAGTTTTTTATTTGTAACTTTTGGTTTCTTACAGCTATCAGATATTGTAAATCAAGGTCAATTGGTGTCAGATGAAATTATAATAAGTTTATTGTCAAAAAGACTTGGTGCTGGAGAAGCTAAAGGCGAATTGGGATTTATCCTTGATGGTTTTCCTCGAACAATAAAGCAAGCAGTGAGTTTCTTCACCTTGGTAAAGTGTATTTCATTATAGGTACCAACCATCGTTTTTTTAACAAACCTTTACGTGAATACAAGGAACAGAAATATTAATAGTCGGTTCGGTTTTGATCTCTGAAAATGTAATTTTCAATGAAAAGTAACTGAAGAAATTGTACGGATAAATATGATGATTTCATAAGGCAAATTACCTTATCTACTTTTTTTTCCCACCTAAACAACTTCTACTTCACAGTCATTCAAGCAACTTTAATTCTCTCGGGTTCTGCCTCTTTACCCTGCTTATGTGTTGAACTTGCAACAATTCTGTTGCATGCTTACTGCTCATAGAAGCAGTATAAAACTTTAAATAATAGAATACTCAAATTTTGGATTTTTTTTTTTTTTTGCGTGCAGGAAATATTGGAAGGGGTAACTGACATTGACTTGGTAATCAATCTGAAGCTACGAGAAGATGTTCTGCTTGAGAAATGCCTTGGTAGGAGAATTTGCAATCAGTGTGGGGGAAATTTCAATGTTGCTTCCATTGACATCAAGGCTGAGAATGGGAGCCCTGGAATTATTATGGCTCCACTTCTTCCTCCTGTGAATTGTATGTCAAAGCTCATTACTCGATCAGATGATACTGAAGCTGTAGTCAAAGAAAGGCTTCGAATATACCATGAAATGGTATTGTGTTTTTTTTTTTTTTTTTTAATATTATTATTATGTGTGGACTTAAGGAAGAATGGCTGCTTGAGTGGCTACTTGTTTGTTGTATATTATTCTTTATATTGAGGGCTTTATAAAAAGATCTGGCCAACTTTGTTGAAGTTGATGTTTCCAATTCCCTGTTGCTTATAGTTTCGTTGTTGTTAATGATTTTGGCTTCCCTTTCTATAAATTTAAAGACTGGTTATCTGTCATGATTGCAGACTCAGCCTGTGGAGGAATTTTACCGTAGCAGAGGAAAACTATTGGAGTTTAACCTGCCTGGGGGAATCCCAGAATCTTGGCCTAAGTTGCTACAAGTTCTTAATCTTGACGATTGTGAGGACAAACGATCTGCTGCAGCATAAAGATAAAATAATGAATCATAACAGTAAGTGTTTCATTCTTTGCGTGCATATATTGCATGCTTGGCAATTTTGCAGGACAGAGAATTAAAGAAAGGGAACTTCTCTGTTAGTATTACCTTGGATCAATAATGATGTTTGAAGTGTTGTAATCATATAAAACTGGTAGTATTTTTTTCATTTTAATTTGGTGATATGGGAGGAGTTTCCCAGCATAAAATGTTATTGTGAAGAGTGAATATGACACAGCATTGTTACATAGATAGTTGTTCAATAGGATTGGTGTACGCACTTTATTATTGTAAATTAAATGTGAATGAACTTGTTGTATTGCATCATCACACGTTCGAGGTTGGGGAAGGCCTTTACTGAAGTGACTTCCAGGTAAACCAATTTCATGAATCATGATGTTCCATGTTATTTGAGCAAGTCTTTTGATTTCACAATACTCATCAGTGATTCCTTTCTTTGAATATGCTTGTTGCTTTAACAACGTTTTTTTTTTTGTTTCAATGAATATCCCGGTAAGTTCAAACAAACAGCTCCTAAATTCAAAATTCAAACAAGGAGCAGTACCAGCTCTTGCCTACTAAAGTTTGCATTGTACAACCCAAACAAGTTTTCCGGAGAAGCGACATAACGCCCGTTTGTTTAGCACCACCGAGAAAATAAGGTGCAAAATCATTCTTGGATATTTGAATGGGGAGGAAATAAATAGGAAGAATAAAAAAAAATGTTTATATCGATAGGAATATAAGAAAGTAGTCTCTAATTTTTTAGCAACTAAATAAATAAAGTTTATTTAGAACGCGAGAGAAGTGCGAGGTGATAATAATATGGAGGATAGTGATAATGTGTTAGATTACAGAGAATAATTTTATTTTCATTTTTTTTTTGGCATTAGGTGATTGTTAATAATTAAATAATTACACATTAATTTTGTTTCATTGTGTAATCTATGTTGAGAAAAAGATTTGGAGAGATGAATTTTGAAAATAATTTTTTTTGAAGATAATGAGGAAAAAAAATTATATCGATTTTATTAACAAATGACGAAAAAAAAATCATCAATTAGAATGTTATTATATTTAAATTAATTTTTATATAATCGATAGATAATATAATATAAAAAGACAATATTATATTAGGATAGACTTGTGTGGGTTCATTAAAACATTTCTTTTGTTCCTTTTAATCATTTATACAAATAATAAAAAAATTGTTTTCATTTTTTTTTACATAAACTGTATAGACAGGACTATTAACGTATAAAGGACTATTAATCCAAAACTCTAAGGATCATTAATTAAAAAATAAATAAAATTAAATTATATTTAAATGCATTTTTAATATATTTTTATAAATATTATAAATATTTTCTACATATTACTCTTTGAAGCTTAAATGATGCAAGAAAAAAAAATTATTATTTTATATTCAGTTATTATTATTTTTTATTTTACCTTTAGAAGTCATACATGATTTATAATTTTGTTGTTTTAATTAAAGACAAATTTTGTTGTTTTAATTAAAGACAGACAAAAATCCAAAATCTTCCATGACCTGCAATTCAAATACACAAAATACATGTAAACCAACCCAGATAATTGGTGTAACGACTTTATAAATTGCTACTATAATAATATATTAGCAAAATAATAAATAAATAAATAACAACATTTATATTACATTATATTACCTGTAATTGTAATATAGATCGAAATCCGGTTCATTGGCGGAACCTCAAAACATAGTAATATAATTTATTTATATAGATACATGCAAAAGTAGCTCCCACAAAGCTACCTCACTGAATTATCCCTGTTGTCCAGTAGTTGCATCTCCACCTCTCAACTCCTTATATGCTCTCATATAAAAATGATCATCACAGTCTCATCCACATGGAAAAATAGGAGTAAGTATTAAATCATTTGATATAATAAAACAGATGTAGAAGTAATAATTACATATTATCATCAATTACAAATCATCAATACACTAAAACGCCTTCCGGAAGTCTACCCTAACTATGCCCGAACTCAGAGACTATCACAATATCATTCTGACAACCCACCACACAGAGTAGGATTACTAGCGCCCTTCATCACTCATACTGGAGTATCCCTCCGAGCGCGACACCAGTCATCCTCTATCGACTTCTCACCACCTGATCTCGTAGTCTACCTGACCCGACCAATCAGTAAAGTCTGAGACCTCATTCAGAATTCTCCGACATAGTTATTATATTAATGTACTCTGTACAACCTCGGGTACCGTTCAAACACAATAAAAATCATTCATATCTTGCGGATTCTAGACCATCTGTCCTCACGGATCATTCAGGTAAATAATAATAATTGACTGATTTTGGGCACCAACCCTCCAGCTCAATCTAGCCAATACATAACATCTCATGACTGATTTTGGGCACCAACCCTTAGACTTAGTCTGACCCACACACGTTACAACACACAGCTGAATCTTTCTAATTTCATTCTATATTTTAATTATTTTTCTTAACATACCTTTACTTTATTTCTAAAAGTCCAATTATACCTTTAAATATTTTTTATTATTCCTTTTTCATCCCGAAATTATTAAATTACTATTTTGCCCTTAATCTTTTCTTAAAATTTCATGTATGTCCCTAAATAACTATTTTACCCTTAGACATTTTTAAAACTTCCTTCCAAGTCCTGAAAATGACTATTTTACCCTTGGACATTTTCAAAAATTCCTTCTACGTCCCGAAAATGACTATTTACCCTTGGACATTTTCAAAAATTCCTTCCATGTCCCAAAAATGACTATTTTACCTTTGGACATTTTCAAAAATCTCCCCTTATCCCTTTATTCAACCTCGCATCCAGGAAGCCATGACACACATCCAAATTTTCAATTTTCAAGTTTCAGGCAACCAAACTAGTTCCAAATCGAAATTAAACTTGAAATATGTTCAATTTAAGTCAAAAACAACAATTTTACCATATAATTCACCCTTAATTTCAAGAATTTCAACAAAATTTCAAGTTTTCAAATATGAAGAAAACTTCAAAATCAGTCGTTCAAATATTCAAATTTCTACTTCTATTCCTTATTCACAGAGTACCTAGTAATTCAGACTCATATATTGAATGAATTAAACTTCCCCTTACCTTGTGTGATATTTCTACCGAAGTTTTCCCACTTAATTCAAGCTCTCTTCTATTTCACCAGATCCTGCACGAGTAGAGTATCGTTTTCTTGAAATTTAGACAAAAGAAGAAGAAGGATGGGAGGAAGAATCACTTACTGCTGCCATTCCTTCCCCCCTTCGCACATATATAAAGAATTGGCGTGCAGAGGAAACTTCATTATGAAGTTTTTGCACAGTAATATTATTATAATATATAAAAAAACATATGTCACAATCTCCACTCCACAAAAATTTTCGTCCTCGAAAATGAACTTACTAGGGAATAGATATGGATAGGACTCTCACATCTGAGCCTCCATCTCCCAAATGAAGTCTCCGGATATCTGATCTCATACTACCTTCACCATTGAGATGATTCTACCTCTAAGTTGCTTCAGTTGAGAATCCTTTATCCTCACTGGTCTCACATCAACGGAGAGATCATCTCTAATTTGCACATCGTCTGACTCCAGGACATGACTGGGGTCATGCACATATTTCCTCAACTAAGATACATGAAATACATTGTACAGATTTGCCAAATGAGGTGACAACGCTAACTGATATGCCACTAGACCTACCTTCTTCAGAATATGATATGGACCAATAAACTTAGGAGTCAACTTCTTAGATTTAATTGCCCTTCTTACTCCAGTAGTAAGTTTGATTCTCAAAAATACATGGTCTCCCCCCTCAAATTCTAAAGGTTTCCTCCTCTAGTCCGCATATTATTTCTGTTTACTCATAACGACTCTTAGCTTCTCTTGTATCTCCTGGACCTTCTCTATAGTCTGCTGGAGTAGCTTAGGTTCGATCAACACTTTCTCCTCAGATTTACAGGGAGGAAATGTGCACTCTTCGTCAATATGTCCATTATCACCCATATTGAATTGTGCCCCCGAACTGTCTGTGGTAAATGGGTAACAAAATCCATGGTAATGTTATCCCACTTCCACTCAGGTATCTCCATTTGTTGCAGCATTCCTTCCGGCATCTGTTGTTCCACCTTTGCTTTCTGACAAGTCAAACAAGCAGCCACATACTCTACAACATCTCTCCTCATACTAGGCCACCAATAAACCTTCTAGAGATCTTGATAAATCTTAGTCATACCAGGGTGTAGACTCAGATGACTCTGATGACCTTCATCTAGTATTGCTCTCTTCAATTCCTGGTCAACAGGAATACAAATCCTTCCTCTGAATCTCAGAATACTATCCTCACCCATCTAGTAATCAATGGTCTACTCGGATCTTAACTAATCCATAATACCTTTCAACGTCATATCACCCTGTTGTCTATTTCTGATCATCTCAAGAAAATTATTAATAATGGTAATGTTACCACAACTAATGTTAGTATCACGAAACTCTACATCTAGATGCAGATCCCTGAACTGCTCGAGTAATATCAATTCATCCATCATCATTACTGACATCTGAATTGCCTTCCTACTCAAGGCGTCAGTCACCACATTCGTCTTTCCTGGATGATAAAGTAACTAAAAGTCATAATCCTTTAGAAACTCCATCCATCTTCTCTATCTCATATTTAGCTCCTTCTGATCGAATAAATACTTTAGGCTCTTGTGATCACTAAAAACTTCAAATCTGACTCCATAAAGGTAATGTCTCCATATCTTGAGAGCAAACACCACTGCTGCTAGTTCTAAGTCATGAATAGGGTAATTCCTCTCATGAATTCTCAGCTGTCTCGACACATATGCCACCGCCCTTTTATCTTGCATCAAGACACAACCTAACCCTTGAATAAAAGCATCACAATATATTTGAAAAGGTTTAGTCACATCTGGGATCACCAACACTAG